TTCATTTTTAAAATTTTAATATTTTAGGTTTTGTAATTTTTGTTACAACCCATACAAGTTAAAAACAAATAAATGTTGGTATTAGTGGCTGCAGAGTACAGAGACTGAAATTTAAGGATTGAATGAATATGTACTGCCTAAAAGGATTAAATAAATATGTACTTCCTAAACATTTTAATGGTGTTTTTATTATGTTACTCACAGTTACATATGAAAAATAATTTTCAAATGGTTTAAAATATTTTTTCTGAATGGTTCCAGAACAATAGTGAACAAAATTAATCAGGTGCCCTGCAACTGAGTCAAGTTCAAGCAAAAGGTTGAATCCCAACAACTTTCTGCACATGATTAAACCTTTAACAGGAATGGGATTCATAATGTCTACAAGTTTAAACATTCCTTTAGCTTGTAGAAAAAGTTGGGAAATAAAAACACTAAGTAGCTGTTTTCCCAACAAGCCATGAGACTTGGAGCCGAGAGAACATCAAGACGTTCACTGCAAACTTGATTCATTTCACTGTAGGTGAGAACTGTTGGCATTCTTTTATACTGAAGGACACTATCAATACTCAAATACATATTGCCTCAAATAAAAAGAGGATCCTTTTTATCATCATTTTTGGTTTGTTTTTGTTTTTTTTTGCTGTGGATAAACCATGCAGAGTCCATTTGGTGTTACTTTTGATATTGATCAGTGCAAGTCCATTGTTCTCAGTTGTTCTGCTAAATACATGCCCACTATTTCCACCACCACAAAAACTCAAAGCAATACACATGCCCTTCAAAGTAAAAAATGTATAACAAATGGGCAATTGTAAGAAATTGGCTGAAGGAAACAGGATTTCCATATTGAAAGACTAAATGAAAAATGTTACAAATACCTAAACAAAGAAAACAAAGTTACAGCTATCATGAAGCATGGATGATTCGATGAAAGCAAATTCCTGGTGATGAATCATTAATTTGCATTAGACAAAATGGTAAACTGAACTTTTTTTTTTTTTAAATCTGATGCTATTGCAAGAAAATATGAAAGTTAGCTTATCATTTAAAACACAGGGTCATAGGTCGAGTAATGAACCCAGGCAATCATTACCTCAAAAGTCAATGCATAAGCATCATTGAAATTCTGTGCACTTTTCTTATGCCACGAATAGAAAATAGGTTTGGTGATGGAGTCATTTTTTAGAAAGATAATGCATCTTGCCACAGAGCAAAGTGCTTTGAAGTTTTTCTTCAGGAAAGGCATATCAAGTCAATGACATGGTCAGCAAACAATTCAGATCTGAATCCATCTAAAGATTTATAGTGGAGAACAAAAAAAAAAAAATCTGTCAACCATTATTTTAAGAATGTTGGAATTACATTGATTGAGAACATTGTTTTCTTCTAGCTCAAAGAATTCAGTCTGGAGAGGAACAACCCAATATTGTGATATCTTTTTTTTCATTTTTATTTAATCTGGAAAAAATTATCCCATTTTGCATTTGTTTGAGGTATGTTTCAAAAAACCAGAATGTGCAGCTAGTAAATAAAAATTCTTGGGCATCTTATTTTTGCTTTGAGGTAAAAAAACAGGATGAATTCCATCATTGACAAGGGTTGTATATTAAGAAATGAATTTTAACATTTCCAATAAATTCAAAATGCATCAACTTCTGGGGTGGGGTAGGCGGAATACTAAGTCAGAGAGCACTTTAAAATTGCAATCATCTCTAAATTATGACCATAAAAGTTTTCTATATGGCACAATGTCAAACTGAATCAATCTGAACAGATCCTTATAGATTTTCAGCTCAGAACATGATTTCTATATAAAGTCATATAATTAGATTCATTAATTCATTTTTATTTTAAAATATTCAAATACTTGCACTGGTGGCAGGGTGGGAAGTATAATTTCAATCTCCACTTTTTTTTTTAATTCTACTAATTCATTAGCATGCAAATACATGGCTAATAACTTTAAAAACTTAAATGCATTTGCTCTAGCAATCACTATCATGTCACTTAAAGAAATTAATCACAATGCAAATAAAGGAAACATAGGAAAAAAATGGACTGACATAAAGAAAAGGGAGGAAAAAGTGAAAGAAAAGATTATAAATTTCCCAACCAATACAAAATTATGCAGATACTTAAAAAAATGTTAATGCATGGTTTTAGATGGATTGTATCAAATAATAATATATATTTCAAGTAATGTGTGAAGGAGCCTTCAACCATATACAGTTGGTAGCACAGGTGCCATAACTAGATGTCACTTGTGGCCAAAGTAGAAAGTGAAATGCAGGAAAAAGGCAGACTTGATGAGACAAGAGAGGCATGAAAGAATTGGGTAAAAAAAAAAAAAGAAAAAAAAAAAGAAAGAAAAAGAAAGAAAGAAAAATAATGATAATTTAAGGTCCTGATATTAATAAAAATGTTCATTTTGCATAATATCAGACCAGCATGGGTTTTAATATAAACCACACCAATCAATCTATTTGTTTTTGCTAAAGTTTACTTGAAGCTTTTTCTTTAATTCTTGTGAAAGTCTTACCAGAACTGGCTACTTTATATAAAACACATCTGAAATGATAATATAGGACTGTTAGAAACCTAAAAATCTAGATAAAACACCAATGTAGAAAAAAAAAAAATAGAGGTTATGAGTAGTTCCAAGAACGAGTAAAAATCTAGGAGTTAAAATATTTAGGTCTGTTTAAAATAAATTTTATAAAATTATAAACAGAATTCACAAAAAAAAAAAACAAAAAAAACTGAAAATCTCTAAAGTGGGTACTCATTAAATATACATTTTTAAAAACATTTTTCCTGAAATCAAAATTTTGTATTTTTTAAAATGATATTATTAATTCCCATTTTTTTGATTAAGTGATCCTCCCATCTAATGATAGTAGTGAAAATCAAATGTTCTGAACTTGATAGAAAAAAAAGACAAGGATAAAATAAATTAAGCTTTGCTCTTTAACAACTTTATAAAATTGTTTAAATTGTTGATATCTAAAGTTTTAAAAAAATAAAGATTTAATTTTGTTAGTTAATATCAATATGAATTGTTTGTGCCTTATTTGAACACATGGTCACAACAAAGGTAAAGATGCCCTGACACTAACAAAAATTCAATGCAAAAACTAAACATGAGGAAAACTTCAGATCAAAACTACACCAAAAAGATTTGATTCAAGACAGATAGCTTGGAAAAAAAAAAAAAAAAAAAAAAAAAAAAAAAAAAAAAAAAAAAAAAAAAAAAAAAGCAATCTATTAAGGGAATTTCTTGAGTATTTAAGGCTAGAAGCAAATATAGTGGAAGCAAATTAAGTGCTATATAAAAAAAAAAATAAAATAAATAAAAAGTGACCAGGCAATTTAATAGTTCTAAAATTATGAAAAGCAATTTTTAACACTGAGAAAAATGTATTTTCAATAATACAAGTGTTAAACTTATAAGTAGTAATTACTAAGCAGAAAATAAATATCTAGACCTAAAATAACAACAGAAAGAAAGGGTAGAAATTTTGCTATAAATATGACCAATTATTTTAAATATTAATGAAATTCTGAAATTTCTAAATTCTGCTGCTAAAGAGAATTAAGAGAAAAAAATTTTACTTAAAAATTCTGGAAAATAAAGGATGAAACAGTAGAAATAAAATTTAATTATATAGATTTAATATTGGTGAAAATATAAACTAGGGAAGTCACAAACCTTCATTGGGCAAATAGAAAGGCCTTTTCATGCACTATTTTTGCAATGTGCCAAAGCTATTAAAAGGCTAGTAAAAAAAACATGTCAGAATGAAAAACCTATGTTGAATATAGAATACAAAAATAGATATCACTTTGATAGTGGAGGGAAAAATACTGGTTTTATAACAAGTTTTATGAATTAACAAAAAAAAAAAATAAATAAATAAATTAATTAATTTAAAGTTACTTTTAAGATTAAATAAAAGATTCTACATATGTAACGATTGGTTATTTAGCCGATTTCTAATATTGGAGGCAAATAACCAGATAAAACCATTTCACTGGAGCATTTTGCCATGACTAATTCCTAGTGGGTGTTTTCTAAAGTTTACTGTTGTTATTAGTCAAAAATTGAAGGTTAAAACAGTGTGTAGAAATGTTTGGCCAAAATAGAGCTTACCTGTTCTTTTCCCCCATTTGGTACTAGCAAATAATAGTAGCTACTTTGCCAGAGAGAATGGCTCAGTTGGGTTAAAGGCAGCAACTAAAAGAATATTAGTGATATAACCTAATAGAGTAATTGTAATTAAAAAAATTTGCAACACCCACTGGGATAGTGTCAGGGGCAAAGTGCTGGAGAAGTCCAGTTGAATCATTTTTTTCTAGGATGTAGTTACCCAACATTAAAAAGGTGGTAAAGTATTAGTCAAAGCAATACAAAATAGTTGAATTAGTTATTGAATAAAGAAAAGTGGACCCATGAAAAGATTAAAAAAAAAATGAAAAACCACAAAATAAAATACCTGCCCATTCAAAAAGCAAGAAGAAAGGTAATTTTCCAGAGAGCTAAAATACAGAAAATAAATAGAACTTATCTTTCTAGATCATTTCAACAAAATCAAATATTTTTCATTCTCAATATGATGTTAGACAAACAATTTTGAGATAACAGAACTATAATATAAAAAAATATCATAAATCATTAGAATTGCATTTTCCTTTTAAAACTGACCTTCTAAGAAGGCTACAAATTCCCTACATTCAACAGTTTTTCATAGAAATGTTCTTCTTACAGATCTGTGCAAATTCAAGTGAGTCACTTTAGTCTGGGAGAAATAGCTTTGGCACATGAGCAGTAACTGCAGTCTGAACAAGCAAACCTTTTTTTTCTGTATAAAGGGAAAACAATTAAGACGAACAGCTGTAAAAACAAAAAGAAATAATTCAATTGACAACAGAGCACATAAATGTTCAAGCTAATTAGAAATTCAAACAAGAGTTTTTTTTTTAAAAAAGAAATTACATACCTTGGGCAATTTTCTCCGACATTTTTCAAAAACTATTTTGATAGTATTGCAGGTAAACTCAAAACTGCAAAATAAAATCAGAAATAAAAAAAATGTAAAATTCAGTTTCGTCATTAAAAATAAAAGTGGAGAAAATTACTTAAAAATAAAGCCAATTAGAAATTTATCCTAAAATAGGAAAATAGAGTTGATCATATACTTAAATATATATATATATATATATATATATATATATATATATATAAACAAAAACTCCACAAACCCCAAAAATGGAAACCATCTCTTTTGCATTAATGATGCAGCTGTCTCAAGGCACTTTTTCAACTTTATGATCCTTCCAAATCAAACCGTAAACAAAGGAATTCAATCATAAAATTGGTCATGAATCATTTTTTATGTTGGCATCAAAACCAGAATTATATTTCCATTCTTGAAGTTATTGGAGTTTGATCTAAGGAAATCAGAGTAGGAAAGTCAATTCCTACTCTGGTCAAATATTAGTGAAAATTATCAATCTTTTCATTCAAATTAAATAAATTCAAACTTAAATTATTTAAGAGTTTTAATAACAATTTAAAAATTAAAGCATATCTGAATACAGTATATAAAAAATAAAATTAGCTCATTTTTTTTTTTGTAAGCATGAGAAGAGAAAAAGTCCATTCTGAGATATAAAAATTATTGAGCCAATATAAATGAAATAAAACTATTGCAAAAGCATAAAAAATAAACCTTATTGTAGATACTTAAGTACAATATGCAAAAGCCAATAACAAAAAATCTTTAATATTTAATACAACCAAAAAGCCTTTTGAAGAACACCCCCCCCAAAAAAAACCCCGATGTTTGATCAGGCTGAGAACTTTTCAGCAGCCCCAACAGCAGTAAAAAAGACAATTTATTTGCAAAATTCAGTGTTTCATGAAGGATAGCAGATTAATTCTTCAGTCTGCAATCTAAAATATCTCATCTAAATTTTCATTTTTATTTCCACACTATATTTTCAGTAATTTCCAAAAGCATGATTATTTTAAAATATAGTTATATCAATATACATTTCTAAATTGAATCAAATATGGTATTTAAAAAATTATTGAACAATAAAATAACTCCACAAAAAAAAAAATATAAGAAAACCTCTTTGTCACTTTAACTTTCCCTTTATAGTAATGTAATCAATCGAGAGGCAGTATGCCCAATAATGACAAACCCCACCTAAGTTTTTTTTAAAACTGAATGAAAATTAAAGAAATGTCATCATGGATATGTTTTTTGTTTTTATTACTGCTTGAATGGAAAAACAATGTTCCCATTTTCCAGTAACAAACTTTGGAAATGGCTGCTCTTAAATGGGCTTCATTTCAGCTTATGCAAGCAAGAAAATCTCTTAAGTCTGGCTGCAAACAAACTGAAAACTTGGCAATGTATACTGACAAAAATTTAAGCAATAACTAAATATTTTTTTTAAATACAATTTATGACAGAAATGTCTTCACATCAAACTGAGAATAGAAAGAAGAAAAAAAAAATCAGAAGAACTTTATTTTACTACTAGCAGCATGGCCCGGCGTTGCCTGTGCTTGATTCAAAAATAGTACGACTAATACAGTAATCGCTATCACTTGACTTAAAATATTTTGGGCCCTCCTTGCCTTTAGAGTGCCCTTTGCCGTGCTGATGTTGTTACATGCCTTACTTCTTGCCTATATCACACTGCCAACTATTTCTAAGCTCTATAGTAAACATTAAATATGTTATGAAAAAAGAACTAAACAAAATAAACACAATACGATCAGCTTTAAAAAACTGGAAAAAAACATTTTTAAGGGTTGACCGATTGTAGATTTGCACTCTGTTTGGGGGGGGGGGTGCTCAGAGTTGAAACTTCACATGATGACTCCCAATGGCCTCTTCATAAATCCGCTCGGTTTTCGCTAAAAACTGACATGCGGTTCAGACGCAATCTGGGCGTATCGGCTTTTGGGTTTTATCGATTTTCCGCACTGTTTAGGGGTCCGTGGTCATGAAACTTCTGGACAACACTTGTAATGGTAGACTCTAAGAGGGTGTCAAATTTGGTTGAAATGCAATAATTCCTTCTGTAAGCAGATTTTTTTCGATTATCGATTTTTTTTCGATCGATTTTCGATTTTTTTTTGAACCTGAGTCCGAACTGAAAAATCGGGCTCCATCATGTCCTTAAGGCAGCCATTTGCAAACTTGTGGTGAAAACCGCATCAAAATCTGGTGAGAAATGCAGCCTGGGCGAGGTAACAATGCCCACGACAGACATACAGACAGACAACATGAGAAATATAGATAGTAGATTTCAATACAACTATTTTTTTTTTCAAGGAAAACTACGGAAAAATCATTTTTAAAACCCTAAGCAGACATGAATAGGAAATGTTTACTGAAAAAGTTATGGCTGCAGGAAATTTTTGTTGCTTAAAATAAAATCTAATAGAAATATGAGAATTTATAAAATGCAGTATAAAACCTGAATCTATAAAGTACATGTGTTTTCATGATTGTAAAAATGAAATCATAACTGGAGATTCAAATTTCACTTGTTGAAAATATCTATGAATTAAATGGTCATTTAATGCCAATGAGATCCAAACCCATTAAAATTTAATCATACTACAGAAGGAAGTTGAAGAATTTGAAAATTTTTATTAGAATGTTTCAGAGTTAGTTTGGTCAATTTCTATTTAGAATGAAATAAGAATTTGTCAACTACTAAGCAATACGCATGTAAATTTTAAATCTCTACAAAATGATAGATAAAAAAAAACAAAACAAAAAAACATTACGTTTACAGAAAATAAATCAGTAACATATTTACCTTCAAGAAGTTTGAAATTCTATTTTTAGTTCTACATCTTATCCATAGCATAATCAACCTGAAAAAAAGAAAAAAGAATAAGAGTGGAAAGAGAGTTTATATTTAGGAATCAGTTATTTTTTTGATGACATTCAATGTTAAACAGTTTTTAACAAGTCAATATGACAATGAGCTAAAGTGGCCAAAACAGAAGCATAAACTGCAGCAAATTACAATAGAGGTTAGTGAGTTTAGAATGATGTCAAAATTGTTCATAGACATATTTAAAATATGAACAAATCAAAAGAGAAGAATACCTTTTAGAGATATTAATGAAAATTTCTTAATTGCTTATTAATTACACTACAAAATTCAAGACATATGAAATTGATAATAAACAGTGCCTATTAGTCTTTAAATAATGAATTTATGTACTATTATAAATACTAAGAGACCACAGGGTGGTGCAGTGCAGGTAAAAAATAAAAAAGATAAAAATAAAAAAGGAGGGGGATTTAAAATATATTGTGATGTTCACCTTGAGATGCAAAGAGCAAAAAAGAAAAAAAAAAAAAAGTCATTTATAATGACTGTTTGGTATGAAAAGCAAATTATGAAGAATCCATTCAGATTCTTCGTTATTACTTTTCATAGCAAATGCAAAACAACCATCCAATAAGGAAATTCAAAACATTTTGGTGAAAGCAAGGAATTGGGAGATGAAAATTTATGCAATGCTAAAAATAAATCCATTAATTTTACTGACATTTAGGCAGTAGATTAAGATTTAAGTTTAGTGTAAGTTTACAATTTCAGGACAACATTTCTAATGAGTTATTTGAACTAACCCAATCTGACACAAAGGAATTCACAGGCAATTCCACTAATGTGGATGGTTTCACAGAACATCCTTGATACAAAAATGAAGAGCTGCTGAAAAATGAGCTCAGAATTTAAAAAAGGCTACGCTGTGTTAAAAACAAAAAAAAAAAACAATTAAGAAAAAGTATAAACATCATTAGATACAAACACAGGAATTTTTAAGAGTAGATTTGATTTTCAAAACATATCAACTTTGGCCATTTTTTCCTTTGAATGATACATTTCTTTTCATCTATGCACATGATTTGATCGTTTGATGAGATGAGCACTGAACTGAAGAAATTAATTAGATGTACCTGAAGTGCATAAGCAAACAAAACCAATTTAAATGCAGCTATGTATTGTCTTTTTTTTCTTGTCAATGCACATAATTCCTGATTTTATATGCTAATGTGTGGAGTGGTAGTTTACAAGAACGCAGTCTTTTCCCCTCTCTCTAATAAATGGTGTCAGTTAACATTGTAAGAAAAGTTTTGGTAAAAAATAAAATTAACAATTATGTTCCTATTAAACATTAATGGAAAGCTGTAAATAATATTTCAAAAGAGCCAATCTAATTGATTAAAATATTAGCAGCATTTAAATTTAAGTCTCTCTTACTCCAAATTTTTTTTTTTTTTTAAATGGCATGTCGGGGAGGGGGATGTCAATATCAACTAAAACAACGAAAACCAATTGTTCTTTTGCATCCTTAACATTTAAAGGGTAGTGTGGCTGAAACAGCAGTAAATGGAGACTGTTAGATTAGATATAAATTCAAATTAAATATCAAGACTTTTTTAACAGTTACCCTTCAAGTCTTAAATTTTCAGTGTTCCCATGACAAGATATAACAATGGTACAAAGCTACTTGTTTTGTGTACAACAAAACATTCTCATTACAAATCAGTTAACTAATTATATTTATTAAAACATAAGTAATTACATAACTGTAGGTTTGCTACTGTTTATAATCATTCAATATATGCAGAAATCTGATAGTAAATCAGTTTTCATCATGAGCAATTTGTCAAAATGTGTTATATGCCAGAATTGTAATTTCTGCTATTATTTATGAATGTTAATGACAAGTGTGTATCTGTGTGAGAGAGAGAGAAACCCAAATATAGTGAAAAGTGACCATTGAAAGAAAGAAATAATTTGTAACATTTTGATGAGATTCCAAATATTTGGAAACAGTTAATCATAAACTGCATTATTTTTATTATACTAAAAGTATTTTAAAATGTTTTTAAAATTGCAAGAGCTCAATAAGGATTCTCAAGAATTAGTCATTGTATGAAGAAAATTCAATTTTTTTTTTTTTTTTATTC